CGAGAGATTTTCACTATAGGGCGCGTGTGCTCGCCAGACAGACAGAGAGAGAGACATAGAGACAGAAAGCGAGAAATCACCCCCCAGGGGGGATGGTCATGCCGCAATCCCTTCTCCATTCTCCTCTCGGGATCCTGGGCATGTATGCACATGCGCCCGGTGTGAGTTTTAAGCCACCGGGTCCGGGACGTGAACCACGGTCGACATAGCCATTATGCTAACTGCTGGTTCCCAGCTTTTTGTGTGTACCAAAAATCAGAAAGGGCTATGGTGTGGTTGGTCCTGGTTGAGACAAGCAAAGCGAGGGGTAGTCCATTGGCAGGCCTCCTCCACGTGGCAGGAGATCAGGAGGCCACTGTGAGGAGATGCCCGCAGGGAGGCTGCACTGGTGCCCAAGCAAGGGCTCCTCTCTTATTTGTGGAGTGTCTGCAGTCTTCATGAGAGAGGGCTGCTGCTACCATCTCTAATTTGTGGAGGACAAATCTAAGGATTTTATTCAGGCTACATGCCACACTGGTCCATGAGAGATTTTTTTTTCCCCCAGAGATATTTTTGCTATAAGGCACATGCACTTGCTGGAGAGACAGAGACAGGAAGTGAGAAATCTCTTGGGGGGATGGCCACGCCGCATCCCTTCTCCATTTTCCTCTCAGGATTTTGGGCATGCATGCACACGTGCCCAGTGTGAGTCCCCTCCCACCTTATGTGAGTTTTAAGCCTCTGGGTCTGGGACTGGAACTGGAGTCCAGCGATGTAACTGCCATGCCATGGGTGGTCCCGGTCTATGAGAGATTGCATGGGGCCTTCAGTGGGCAGCCCCGTGCTTACTTGCTTGCCAGCAGAAGTGGCTAACGGGGCTAACATCCATGCCCAGGTCTCCTCAGTCAAGGCAACGGCTCCCAAGCTCTCGAAGTTCTTGAGACAAAGCTGTTTGTGAGAAGACTGGAAAGCAAAACCGTCCAGATCTCCAGGAGTGAGACATCCAAGAACAGGCCCTACAGTCACGGGCCACCCAGGCCAGACCTCAATACCTCCCTGGCATAGGAGCTATGGTATTTGATAAGCAGCCTCCTGCCAAGGAGAGGGGATGATTGAGGAAAATAGAAGATTAGGTGCAATAACTGTGTCTACCATTTTGTTCTTCTAATATCCATCAAAGAATGAAAAGGGGGGGGCAGTAGGTGGTGTAGCAGTTAAGGTGCCAGAACCCACATGGCCAGTTTTCCAGTGGCTTGAACATCATGCTG